TTTTTAATTGATCATTTACGTAGATATCAAGTTTATTACAATAATCAATGTATTTATCGTATCTATTCTGAAAAAAATTTGTTATTCATAATGATCGTAAACCTTTGCAATGTTTTTATAACCCTTAAATTTTAAACTCAATTAAAATAAAATAAATTTTATTTATAAAACTAAATGGACCAAAAGATCGATATTTTGGGTGTTTCTTAAATTAGATTACAAAATCGAAATGAATTTTTTTACAAATCGGTAATGTCGAATTACCCACTTTGATCTATTCTACGACCAAAAGCATTTTACTAATTGGGTAATGTCGAATTACCCACTTTGGTCAAAATCTGCGACAAAATCAAATATTTATTTAAATTTATTAAAAAAACTTTACTAAAAAATCAAGGCTTTATATTTATTAATAACTAATAATTACTACATAATTATAATTACTAAGCTATACTTATTAACTAAATATTCACATTCTCCTCATTGAGACGACGGCTTTCTTCATTTTGCTTTTCTATAATTTTTCGCCATATTAAAACTGATCGACCTTGATTACTAGCATACTCATCAGTCATTTCTATAACTTCTACAGGTCTTTGAACAAAATAATTATCATCAAGCATCATATGAGAATTTGATATATTTACATCATCGTGATCTGAATCATTTATAAATTTTTTGATTCGACATTTCAATCGCTTGTTAGATTTTCTTTTTACTGCAGTAGTGCTAGATTCGGCCATCGACTATTGACGACTATAATCAGAATCATCATCGAAATATGATTCAGTTTCAGATTCGGATATATGTTCTTGAGATCTTTTTCCTAGTATAGTTGAAGATAAAACTAATTGTGATTGTTGTAAAAGCTTCTGTTTATAATCAGAAAGCTCGCGGCATCTAGGATAATCACGTAGATAGTTTTTCTTGAACTCGGGAAAACAACGACGCCAGTAAACTTGATTATCAGCTTTAATAATCACTTCACCATCTTGATATTGTTCAATTCCTGCACCACAGCCTTTAGTTTCTCAGATGTAAATTCGCCTTTACGATATATTACATCCCATGTCATGTTTCGAAATTTTTCCTCTGAACCTTTATGAAATATTAACTTAGTAGTATGAAGATCCATCTCATCATGCCATATACCCTTAAATTCGATAACATAATCAAGACGACGATAAAATTGACCCCAATCACGTTGAGTTGACATCTTATCATTTGCATTATGTCGTCGAAAATTAAAAGCTTCTTCTGGTGGTTTGTGAGATGTCATAAAGACATACTTGGCAA